AGGTGGTGGTGGAGAACCCAGGACACCTGAATCGCTAGGCCCTACCCTGGCTTTCGTTCTGCTGGGGAATAGCAAAACATGTTGGGAACTCGGGAATTTAATTTACTGTCACCAACCGAAATAATAATAGCATCTTTGTGTTTCACCGCCCCCTCCCCCTTTCTTTCCTCTCGCTGACAGAACCACAACGCTGGCCCTCTGTGGATGTGGCACAGACAACACAGCGCCAGCCCAGAGCAGTCGCAGGAGGGGGCTGACTTGGGGCCCTGGGGAAGCCCAGTCACCGGGTCCCTGAACGCCCCTAATTTCCTAATTTGGGAAAGAAAAGGACCTAGCCGGCAAGATGCCTTCGTATACCTTCCATCTTCCTTAGCTCATTCTGGCCCGGGAAAGCGAGTGTTGTGTGTGTGTAGTTGAGGCAGAGAAAATCCAGGAAAGCTACAGAAGTCACCCTAAAGCATCCACCGAAACTTCAGCTCGTTTAATTGCTCCCATATGTCCTCCTTGGCTGTTTTTAAACGGCAGTGGGGAGGGGAGGGGCGGGTCATTTTATTGATTTTAAAGAGGCTGAAAAAAATACTATCACCCACCTCAAGCCAGTCTCCGAGGGGCCCAGGGGCATCCTCGGGTGACCATTCCCCTCCGGGGCAGCTGGGGCGCAGCTAACAGGGACAGTGCGGGGAAAGAAGGGCCGCGTAGGGGTCGAGCCCCAGCCGCAAGGAAAGTTCGCGCGTCGCACCCCAGCGCCTCCAGGGAGCCGCTGCAGCCCGGGGCAGGGAGGGGCACGGAGGCGCGGCTGGGGCGGGCGCGCGAGAGGAAGGTGCCTTCGGGAACACGCGCGGGGGCGGGGATTCGCGCTGCCAATGAGGCCCCGGGGTGGGCCGTGCGAGGCGGGGGGACGGGCTGGAGCGCAGCTTTTGCTGTGGCAGCTGCAGGAGCTGTGGGTGCCTCGGGAGCCTGGAAGAGGCAGCCGCCGAGTGCCCTGCCGGCCGCGCCCGGAGGCCCAGCCCTGGGGGTGGGAAGCCGCGCTGAGGAGCTGGAAACTTTCCCGACTGGTAAGTCCCGCCGCCCGGGCAACGCTGCGGGCCTCCGTGCGTTCCGGGCAGATCCAGCTGCCGCCGGTACGGGGAGGAGGAGAGGGTCCCGGAGAGGAGGCGAAGGTGATGTGGAGCGTGGAAAAGCGTGTGGGAAAGTTTCTGGAGCCCTTCTCTTCCGCCGGGCGTACCCGAGAGGTTTCCGGGGATAGGCACGGACATGTTGGGTGCCCCCGGCCTTCGTCCCGTTGGCTCTAGGGAGTCCGCGCCTTCCCTGCGCTCTCCCCTCCGCGCCGGACCGGGTCGGCGGAGCTGGGGTTCCGGGGCACACTTCGAGTTTCGGGACTACCCCCACCCGGGGCGCCTCTTCGCCCCCTTTCCCGCCTCCTCTGTAGCCTTCGGGCTTGGCAAGGGCCTGGGCTGGTACCTAGGCGGGGGAGGCGGGTTAGAGGCGCGCCTAGCACCGCGCGGCTCGGGGCGCCCCTGGAGTGTAGGGGCGCGCAGATCGCAAAGTTGCCTAGTGAGTTTTAAGGGGGGCCGTTATTGTCCCGGTTCTGGGCTGAAAGTCTCCAGCATTCCTTAGCTTTCAACAACGTTGTGATTATCAATATACACGTTCTTTTTGGGGGGAGGGGGTAGTGGGAGTTAGACGTTGAGTGTTTTTCTTTTGAAGGGTGCTGAGGAAAGAGATAAGAATTGTGTCAGGATTGTGAGTCCCCCTACTCTTGGAGGGTGGAAAGTAGTCACTTTCAGAGGACACATATCAGGGTGCAGATTTTTCCTGGAGGACGTTGGGGTACGAGCGCGCAGCGCTGGTAATGTAAGGGGCTACCCACTTAGGCGCGGCAGCTTTCCGGAACGGCTGGTCGGGAAGGAAGCCCTAGGCATTGTGTGGCCGTTTGCAGACAAAAATGTCTGTGGACCGGCGTTCTCAAAACTTACTTGGCTTATTGTGTAAGTCTCCGGGAGGAAATGCGGCGGTGGCCAGGTAGAAATGCGGCGCCACGGCCAAAAGGACGGAGGACTCAGGGCTCGGCGACGGCGACAGTCCTCCCTACCCTTCCCCCTCCAGCCCACTCTTGGCAGCCCCTAGATTCCCATGTCTCAAGTATGGGACTCGTCTCGGGAGCGCTGTTCCCTGCAGGAGTGTGCTCCGGCAGGCTAGGCGGGCACCTTCATCTTGAACTTGACCCCAGGAGCAGCGTCGTCCTGGTGGGTTACAAGGTAAAGGGTAGCTGAATCTTACGCGGAATGGACCTTCAACTCTGGCGCGGAAAGGAAGTGCCTGGTTCAGAATCTTTGAGGAAGGGGCTCAGGACTGCTGAGGTCGCTTACTCTGGAAATGCTAGACGCACCAGTGCAGAAGTTAGTATGTTTGGAGGAGGTGCGGGTGGGGGCGGAAAGGGGAAAGCTGGTTAGCTGGCTCTGAGGGTTGCTGTTTCTCTGTAGTGGAAATGAAGGGAGTCTGCATGTTTGCTTTCACCAGATCCGCTATTCTCTTTTTCCTTCCTGGGTCATCTTTATTCCTGCCAGGCTGGCACTCCTGGGATGGGGGAGGGGAAGGAGAAGAAAGCAGTCCTGAAGCTTCTCTGGTCGTCCCTGGAGGTGTTTCAGATCTGCTGCCAGGAAGACAAGAGATGCCTGGATTTTCACAGCTGCTTCTTGATTGCTGGGAATGAAAGAATTTATGAGCGGCTGAGAGGTGTTCATTATGGTAGTTGTTTGAATGTTTTACTCATCTAAGCTACTTAAAGATATCACAAGAGACCTTCCCTAGAGTATACCAGTTTCCACAAAGTTTGTGTCAGCCAGAATGCTTGGTGGGTGTCAGCCAGAATGCATTGTAAATATATCCTGGCGGTTTGAAAATGAAAAGTATGTGGGAGTAAAGGAAATATGGTATCTAACATCCTTCAGGGCTTCCTCCTAGGGTTGCTCCTGTTACCTGCCAAGTGAACCAGGTCCAGGCTTCCGGACTGTTGCGATTTGACAATAAGGGATGGGAAATAGTGTCATTGGTTTTAGTGGAGGCAGGAAAGTCCAGAAATAAATTTAGGGTCACTTTTATGACCCTGTCTTGCAGCTGTGGTTCCACAAACTTACTTTTGCAGGAACTTGGAAGCACTGGTTTTCCTGCTTTTTTTTGGTTCAGTTAACCACCAGAATGTCAAAATTATCATAATTTATGTCCATCGTGAAGCTAAAACAGAACTGATTCATAGTCAGCCCTTTTTTGCTTCCCATAACAGCCAGGAGAAAAAGAACATTTTATGTCTTTAACCACACACAGTTTATTTGGTGCCATATTGGGTAATGGAGGGCACAGTTATAGACAGTGGAGTTGTCTTGATTAAATTGTCTTGTTTTTAGGCAATGTCCTTTTCTGAGTTGCTAATTAATTCTTTATCTCCCAGGGAGTATTAAACCAGTATCCCTGGTCTGGTCTAGCTGTAATCCATATTATAATAACGCCTGCCAGCATAGCTGGAGGTTAACGTTATGTCAGTGTTTCCACAGACATTTCTAACCCAATTGTAAAGGTTTTGTCCGGGTTGCTAGTGGGCTGTGAGTCTCATAGTCAGAGAAATGGCTTTATTTTTATCTTGCTAATGAAAAAATTCAGTTTAACTGTTAAGTTACAGGAGTAAAGTTTACAAAACCAAAATAAAGCGGAGGGTTATATTTTGGGGGAAAGGAAGTGATTTAATTTAGTGCCTAGAATAATTTTGTTTTGAACTGTTTTTTAAATGCATATTTCGGTGGCGGAAAAAATAAATTCCTGAATCCCACCTAATTTTTATAAATGTTCTTTGTACAAGGTTCTTAAGCCTTCCTGGCCCTTGGTTTTCTCATTTTTATCATCCCTAAAATGGGGATTACCTTTCAATCCTAAAGACTCTCCAAGCGTTCTAGAAGTGTGGGCATTCGGGAGCCAGTGCTGTAATATTAAAATATAGTGCTTTGGGGTTTATCGAGTGCTTAGCTTATGTATTTTATACCTGAATCTTCAGTTAAGTAAACTAAAGGCTGTTGATTTAGATTGGTTTGCCTAGTATTATCTATACATAGTAGAGTTGAACTTGAACCTAGGCCTTCTGATTCTCCTTTCTCCCTTCCCCGGGCATCTTTGTTCGTGGAGTCACCTGTGAGGATATTGTGGCCACAAGGATTGGCTAAAATTCTGACAGACTGATGTTAATATGTGGCAGTTTCTCAGTATTTCATTTATGGGTTATTTTGGTTTCAGAACCACAGGGTTAACATCGATGCTTTGATGTCTGGGATAAAAAACAGCTCACTAATAGTGGTAATAAAACTTTCTCCCCCAAGAGAGTTTTAGAAATTCACATGCTTCAAATGAATCATTTGTTTATTTTCAACTTCTTTATTAAGTAGGCTTCAGGGTATAGTGTGATTTATCATCTGGACTGGTAACCCAGACAGCATTCTAAAGGAAATCACTTCTCAAATCTGTACCTTTTTTTTTTTTTTTTCTTTTTAAATAAAGAAACGAACATATTCTTTGCCTTTCATCTTGATATCTCTCAACCTAATTACAGAGCCTGGATGAATATTCCTTTTTTCTGTGTCATTGTTCCTGGACTCTTTCTACTAATGTCAGGATAAGTGATTCTGAGGCACTTTCTGTGCTAAATAAATCTTTCCTTTATGCTACTGGTTTAATGGTAAAGAATTTGTGGGTTGCAGGTGACCCATTTTTCACTATGTCCCTAAATGTTTGTGCCGTGTCCTGCTTGCCTATTTAGGAGCACTAAGTGCAGCTTGACACTCATCTCGAAGCTGGTGTGGATTTTCTTTAAAAGGTTCTAAAATAAAATTATGTGCTAAGTAAGCTATGGACTCTTTTATGACTGAGCAGCTTGTCCATCTTCAGTTTTTAAAACTTATTCTCAGAGGATTGTCTTTTCAAAATGTTGAACAGTGGGGTTTAAATCTCAAACAGAGGATGTATTGGTCAGTACCCATTAACTGACTATGAAGGAGTTGTGGTTAACCTGAATTTGCTGCCATTTCCTTGTGTGAACCAGAGAGTGTTATAAAGCTGTATCTGCTAACGAATGGAGCCCTGGTGGTGCAGTGGTTAAGTGCTCAGCCATGAACTGAAAGGTCTGTGGTTTGAACCCACCTGCCACTCCATGGGAGGAAGATGTGGCTGTCTGCTTATGTTAAGATAACAACCTTGGAAACCCTATAGGGCAGTTCTGCTCTGTCCTATAGGGTCACTATGAGTCAGAATCGAGTCGATGGCAATGGAGTATCTGCTAACGAAGTTGGGAGACTTTATTATCACTGTACCAGCAGGGGACAAGAGCAGCAAAGCAGAAGAATGACTTTTGAGTTTTGAATGATAGAGGGGAATTTTGATTAAAAAGGCTTTCTGGAAACATCTTTTGGAGAGTGAAGGTTGGCCTCCTGGTTTGGTTTGGCTCTGTTACTGGTGGAGGGTGTCCTTCCAGGGTAGGGGTTGTCTTTAGAGGCTTCTGCAGGTGTGGCTGTGTGATCAAGGGGACTATTCTGGAGAGTAGACAGTAATACTGAGGGCAAGGAAAGTGTTGCCGAGGGTGGCAATCCATAGTCCCTGGATTTTAGCACAGATTTGGCCACTAACATGAGGGAATTTATTGGTACGAATCTTCCAGGTGCAGTTGTAGATAGATGTGAGCCCAGGATGTTCAGCCATATAGCCTTGGGCCACAGTGACTCACCACCTTCCTTGCCCCACTCCAATATACCTAGGGTTACACGTCTGTCGTGAACAGTGGCTTATTACCTCAGTGAGATGGAGGTAGGAGGGTGGGGTGGTCTCTAAGATACACTTGATTATGATCTTTTCATGTCTGTATATTCATGCAAAGATAGAACCCCATTTTACCTGTGCTTTTGAAGAACTGTGAAAAATATACATTCAAGAGTGTATATGATGTTATGTATACAGTATATAGTATATACTTACATAATGTGCTTTTCCCCCGTCTTATCCATACACATTCTTCTTTGGC